CTGGTTAAACAAAAATTATTGTTTTCATTACTAATGGTTTGATGCATTACTAATTTGTAATTAGGTCTGCCTATAGACCTTGCTTAGCAACTGCTGGTGCTTCTTCCTGCTGAGTCATTACACTTTCTTCGTTTCGCAGGCATACGTTGAAATTCTCTTCTCATGACGAAATTCTTCCGTCAAGCCTATTCGGAAGAGAACCCTGAACGGCTCATTCTCTTGGTAACAAGGAACACTCGGATTTGTATCTTCTCCGTAGGCAATGTTGAAATAACTTTGTGACATCTATTAGCCAAAGTGCCCATAGTAGTGGGAAGAGCGTTGTTTTTTGAAATGACGAGAAAGACTGCAGGTTCATGATTGTTATTTGCCCAAAACAGCATGTCTACCACGATTCGCTTGTTCACGCCATCCTTGACTCCTATAAAATACAATTACTCGGGGTTATTTTAATGGATAAACTCAAAACTAACCAAGAGTCAACTATAGAGAGTTGAAAAAATTTATCTTGCACAAATTTTGTCACCCTTTTTTATTTTTAAAGGTACATCTATCACTTTTATTCTTGTTCTTATAAATGATTACATGAGAGAATGACATCTCCATAGATCGAAAATAAAATCACTTCGCCATTGTAACCATTTATCTTCAGTGCATTTTGTATGTATGGACCAGATAATTCCAGGTTTTTGAAATAGACTTTAAAGTTAGCATAGTCCAAAAAAACAACAATTTTTGCATTATGAAATTGATCCGTTGCCATGAACAGTGAGGGAAAAAAAAGAGAGATGCAGACACATGGAAAAGGGAAGAAGAAGCACATATGTAAAACAAATGGGAAGATCATAACCGTCCATATCGTTTTCAATCAATGACATAAAATCTAATTCTAAGATTTAATTTGAAGTTTCATCATTAGAAAACAACACCATCAAACCTAAAAAAATGAGGATGTTCTTGGAGATGCTCTTAATTTCTTCTTTGCTCATGTCATGATACTTGCCATGACCAAATGCTACATCAATAAAGTGGGTTTCTTAACATTATATATATGAACATATATCATCAGGTTGTGCGTTTACTTATTTAGACACGACTACGACACATATATCATCAACTTGTGCGTTTACTTATTTATACACGACTAAATTCAATGTGGTAACCTAAACAACGATGATTTTCTAGATAAAAATTCGCAATATGGAAATTAACATTTGTTTTTTAAGAACCATCTTTTTAACATTATTTGTGAATTGATTTTCTAAAAAATAATAATTGATTCTCTAAAAAATAATAATTGTTAAGTGATTCCCTAAAAAAATACTTACGTGTCGCCTCATGAATCACTTTCACGGATTTTATTATGACATAACAATTCACATACAATTGCAAAACATAGCATTTTGAACGTTTCTTTTTATTGAGATTGTATTTATCCTCCACATTGGCTAATTGGTATTTTGTTCCATGACTATGTAATTTCCCAATTTGTAAGATGTCACAACTTGACACAAAAACAAAATTAGATAAATAAATGTATTATAAAATTTCTCTCAAATGGGATTTTGAGAATTTTTGTTTTCCGTTTTATTTCTAAATAAAAATCAAATGTTTTTATTTATACGAGAATACATTTCTGTATGGGATAAAAATTTGTGACAAAAAATAAGACATAACACGATACATAAAGAGAGGACGATATTTTGCTTAACTCTAATTTTTTGTTAAAAAAAAAACATGCGTCAGTATTGACCTGATACATTAGTTGTTGAATGTTTAGAATTTCACATCAAAAGTAAGATAATTAAGAAGAAATATTTTTACTTACCCCCTAATCAATCCGCAATATCAATCATAGCTACATTTGCATACTATGATTGCCTCCCTTATTCAGACCGCAAACGTAATTGAAATTGATAGCAAACAAAGGAATTAATCCCTTGTACCGGCGGTTTGAACCGTACCAATCAAACCCTAAAAGTCATTTTCTTACCTTTATTTTACTGAACACAAAAAGACCGTTAAAAAGTTCTTCTGCTTGCGAGAAAGAAAGGTTCGATACGGATACGGAAGCGAAGAGAAATGAAAGCGATCGTGATCTCGGAGCCAGGAAAGCCTGAGGTTCTGCAATTGCGAGAAGTCGATGACCCACAAGTGAAAGACGACGAGGTTCTGATCAGGGTTCACGCCACCGCTCTGAATCGCGCCGATACTCTCCAAAGACTCGGCCTTTACAATCCACCACCTGGCTCAAGCCCTTATCTTGGTCTCGAGTGTTCTGGAACCATCGAATCTGTCGGAAAGAGCGTTGTATCTCGTTGGAAAGTCGGAGACCAGGTTTGATATAACTGACTTTAACCTCTTTCTCCTTTGATTTTTCCGATTCTGGGATTTGGGGGAAAATCGAGTTTAGGGATTTATCATACTCAATTTTGGGTTTTAGTGTTTGGGGTCTCTGCGCTAAGCTCCATGGAATCTATGAGACCCAACTTTGCTGCTCAGTGCTCACACTCATGTTCTTAGTGATTTACGATTCAATGACTGAACATTTGAAGTAGAATTGAAGAGGTTTCTTATTGCAATTCAGTTTGATGTGTTTAGTTGTTGAAAGCTTATTACAGCTTTTGGCGTTGGATTGCCTTCAGTTTCACTTAGGCGCGTAAAATTACTTTTGAAGTATAAAGTTGCTGCCTTTGATTAGACTTCTGATTCTTTGTCTCAGGTGTGTGCTCTTCTTTCTGGAGGAGGTTACGCGGAGAAAGTTTCTGTTCCCGCTGGTCAAATCTTCCCAATTCCCGTCGGTATCTCGCTAAAAGATGCAGCGGCTTTCCCTGAAGTGGCATGTACAGTTTGGTCAACTGTCTTCATGATGGGCCGTCTCTCAGCTGGTGAATCGTTCTTGGTATTTCTTTCACTTCTCTTGCTATGCTATGTATAATACTGTTTCTCTGGTTGTTAGGAGCAAATCCTTTTTACCGGAAATACTAGAGGCTTCATCTATTACACAGCTTTGCCTTTGCCTTCTTTCTCGGGCTATGTAATTCTCGTCTTGTCTACCTCCTTACTGATGTTGATAGTTTTCGAGATTTTAGGTTCATGGAGGTTCTAGTGGGATTGGTACATTTGCAATTCAGATCGCTAAACATCTAGGAGTGAGAGTATTTGTCACTGCAGGTTTGGTCTAACCTTCAATTTATCGATAACCTCCAGCTTTTCTTTTTGATTGACAATGTTCCAGTTTCCTTTTAACTAACAGGGAATGAGGAAAAGCTAGCTGCTTGCAAAGATCTCGGGGCTGATGTTTGTATAAATTACAAAACCGAAGACTTTGTCGCAAAGGTAAAAGCGGAAACCGATGGGAAAGGTGTGGATGTTATATTGGACTGCATCGGGGCACCGTATTTGCAGAAAAACCTTGACAGCTTAAACTTCGATGGAAGGTTATGTATTATCGGTTTAATGGGAGGGGCAGTTGCAGAAATAAAACTAAGTAGCCTACTTCCAAAGCGTCTCACCGTCTTAGGTACCAACCATACAATCAAGTAACCATATATCAAAATCGAAATTGAGACATATTTGAGAAATCTTGATCTGTTTTGTTCCTACAGGAGCTGCGTTAAGACCAAGAAGCAAGGAAAACAAAGCAGTTGTTGTAGCGGAAGTCGAGAAGAACGTGTGGCCAGCGATAGAAGCAGGGAAGGTAAAACCGGTCATTTACAAGTACTTACCATTGTCAGAAGCAGCAGAAGCTCATAGTCTTATGGAGAGTAGTGACCATATTGGTAAAATTCTGCTTGTGACTTGATTCTCTCTGCACAAGAAGAAATGCTTCATACAAGAACCATGGTGAATCAATAATAAAATCTGGTGGATTGTGTTCACCATGATGTTTGTGACAAAAATAAGGCATAACATGATTCATAAATAGAAGACGATAGTTTGCTTAACTCTAAATTTTTGTTAAAAAAACCTGGTCTAATGAAGTATTCCTAATTTTTGAATGTTTAGAATTTCACATCAAAAGCAAAATAATTAAGAAGAAAGTTTTTTACTATGATTAAATCAGTCAAACCCTTAAGTACCGCGAACGTAATTGATACCAAACAAAGGAATTAATTAGGGGGTGTCAAAATCAATGTTCAAGAAAGCGCTAGGCGCTAAGCGGACGATGACCTAATGCCTAGTGCATAGAACGTCTAATCGGAGTCTAAACGATTTAATAAGCTGTCTAAACGTTTTACAAAAATACATAATATATTAGATATATATGATAAAATATATAAAAAACCATAATTTATAACTAACAAAAATTTATATTATATTTATATTCATCATTTTATAGCCAAATATATAACATTTTACGATTTATATATACAAAAATTTATATTATTTTATGATAATACCATAATATTTTAGGCGGTAAAAGCGGTAATCGCCACGGGCTATAGGGGCTTAACGCCTAATAGCTGCCTAGGCGAACGCCTAGAACACTTTTTAGAACACTGGTCAAAATTGATCAATATCCATCGGTTATCCATACATGCCCATAATTTTAGCAGGTACATGTTGGATTTTTTTACCCATATAAATAAATAAATTTTGGTGGGTTACCCTAATAGGGTTATGGATTTAATGAGTAAACTCATTAGAGTTGTGGGTAAACCCATTAGGATCGTGGGTAACCCACATATTTATCATAAAACTAAAAAAACTAATATATACTTATTAGAGTACTTTAGAAAAACTAA